GCGCTTGGGCCCTCCGGAACCAGAACCTCTTTGGTTGTCTACAGGATAGCTGTGGCAACAGAACGAGAGACACAGGCAATCAGCCCTGAGGCCACATCAGACTGTACAGTCTCTGTGTTAATGCAAATCATGTGTGTTTGCTGCAGTCCCGACAAAAAAATCCAAGTTCCAGCTTTAACTGATGTTTCCATGAGACCTCACTCCTTGGTTTTAGTTCCCTTGTTTCTTTTGGCCTACACCTCCAGAAAAAGCAAAGCTTCTAGGGATGGCAGGAATGCTGTCCTCCATCCCATCTCCCAGGCTGACCAGAACATGAGCCACCTCACCTTTGTCAGGGGCCAGGTGGGCACATCCAAGCTCAGAGCAGCCCCTGGCTCCAGAGCTCCTGCCATCACCCTCCTTGAGCCAGGCCCGTGACACACCAGGCAGGGATCAGGGAACTCTGCTGGGATAAACTGCACCACGAGGGCGGGGGTGCCAGGAAAGCATATGCTCTCAACACCTGCTGGAAGGAATCTCCTCCCTGCATTCAGCAGCCATGTCTCAGAGCTCGCCGTGGGGAGCGAAGGGGAGGACATGGGAACCCAACGTGCTCTTATGGAAAACACCAAGGCAAGAGGGACTGAATCTCCCATTGTGGAGGCTCTGCTCATCCCACAGGACACCACTGCCCATGTGACAATGTGACATCCTGTGCAAGGGACACCTCCTTCCATGGCAAGACAGAAAAATAAGGTACATTTGCCACAAAAACATCACCATTTTTAACAGCGCTGATCCAAAACAGACCCCTGAAGATCAAATCTACCTCCCAGCGTCCCTTAAAAACAACCATCAAAACAAAACCAGAAGAGGGGAGATCTGTGGCGTTGGGCAGAGATCTAAGCAACTGCATAAGGCAGTGAGAGCTTCATCTGAGAGCTCATGTCTGCTCTGCCCGAGAGGCACAGGCTGCAGAGTGCAGTGCTGGTCTCTCTGACACATCAGAAAAGCCTTTGCTGCAGCATTGCTGCCTTTGGATAAGATGGACAGAAGCCAAGCAGCCCTGTCTATCAGACAGACTTTCTCTTGTTCCTCTTGACTCTGTTTTAACGTCTTTAAAAAACAGAAAAAGTCCACTCTCGTTTCGCCCTTTGCGTCTTGAGCCACTGCTGGACTGCAAACTCTCATCTCTGGAGGTGCCTGGGAGTCACCATTTCATTCAATCCCAAGTAAATGACCTGAACTTGCACCCAAGTCTCTGGGAAGGAGGCAGCTGCTGTGCTCGAGTCCTTGAAACTTAAATACATCTCCACCTCCAGTGCCCATGTCGTGCATTTCTCACAGATCAGAGCAAAAGAGGTTAAAGAAGCTGTTCTTTGCAAAGCTCTGTCATGGAATATCCTGAGTAGGAAGGGACTCACATGGATCATCATGTTCAAGCCCTGGGCCCACACCCAAGAATTCCATGATGCTCCTGAGAGTGTTGTGCAAACAGAACATAAGGAACAGAAGTCCATGCTATGGAACACCTGCACTGGAAAACCACAGCAATGGGGCCAAGCCATTCACTGGGACCCTGCTGTGGAGTAAATCTGCTCCAGCTCTCCCCTTCTGCCGGGGATGGTGGTGGTGGCTGGGACTCAGCAGAGCTGTGCTGCCTGTGCCTGCAGTGGCACCTCCCTTCCAGGCAGGAGCATTCTGGTTCCCATGCACCACCCATGAGGAAGTTGTGCTGAACTATCTCAGCCTGTCTCATGTCATCCTTTTACACCACCTACTACTCCCTGGTGACAGAAGGGATCCCGTAGGCTTACCTAAATTCCAGCGGGGGCGGAGGCAGGCTGTCATCTGGGAACGAGGGAGGTGGTGGCACAATGGAGTCAGTCTGCGGCGGTGGCGGGTAGCAGCTCCCATCCATGCTCTCGCTGGAGCCGATGCTGCCGTTCTGGTACACCATGTTGGAGGGGTACCTGCCAAAAGCAACGCTAACTGTTTGCTCCAGGAGCTCAAGGCAATGTCTACAGCTCATGTTTAACCCACAGAGTTGTCCAGAGAGGCTGGATGCTCCTGGATCCCTGGCAGTGTCCAAGGCCAGGCTGGACGGGACCATCCTTGCACCCCTGGAGCAACCAGGTCTAGCAGAAGGCATCCCTCCCCATGGAACTGGATGGACTTTAAGGCCCTTTCCAACCCAAATCAATCCATGATTTTACATCATTAAAAACCCCTTTACTTCTCAAAGACTCTTATATGGAGAATCACATACACCTGTATATGTTTACGTAATTTTTTGGCTAAAGAATGTATATTTTAATAAACAAGGAGTATATATTTTAAGAAAGAAGCAAACACCTGAATAAATGCATTTTTCCTAACACTTGATTTTGTAAACGCACTTAAGAGTGTTTTGACCAACTTGGACCTAAAGAACTTGCAGTTACACTGAGTATCATCAGTGGCAAAAACAGGAGGTACTCAAAGATGCCAAAAAATAAGCTTGAGAACAGAATATCAAAATGGAAATCACAACGCTGTAAAACAAGTATTCAAAGCTGGAATAGTACTGAAAACAGACTCATGCTTTCAGTGGACTCATTTCACTGTGGGAAGGGGGAACCACCCTATTTTTGGGGGCTCTGGACCCCAAGTGAATCCAAATGCAAGAACACACTCACATGAGAAAAGAGGAGCAAGAAAATGGTGCTGTTGTGCTGCTCGATTCCCCTGCTAGAAACCAAACCTGTTCTCTTATTAAACTAAAAGCAAGTTTTATTTTTAGCTGGAGAGTGTGATTTAAAGAGAGATTTTTTTCTTATATGAAAGGAAGCTGCAAGGAAGAAGAGCATTGTGGGGAATTCGGTCTGCTTCCAGCCTTGCTGGTGTCAAAAGTTAAATGAATTCCCAAGCCAGAAGTGCTAAAGAGAGATCTGTAGCTTGAAATACTTGGATGGGGACAGCCCCCGCTTCAACTTTAGGGTGTGAAGAGCCATTTGTGAGATGTAACAAAGCCACCACACAATGGCACCGAGATGCCACCCTCGGCTGGTGTGAGGGAAGGGCATCGCCGTGGGGCACAGCCAAAGCTCCCAACTCCTCTGTGCCCACAGGCAGCGAGAGCAGCCAGAGCCACTCCTGCCACCGTGCTCCAGCTCCCTGATTTATCTGGCAAATTTCAAATCAGCAGGCGGATTTACTTGGGAGAATCTGATTAGTGGCAGTATCGATCTGATCCGGGAGCTGCAGCGCAGGGTGAACTGCATCCCAATCACCCAGCCCCAGAGCTGCTTACCCAGCAGGACCATGCTTGTCCTTTGACTCCACAAACTCCTGTCCCATTTTCAGCTTCTCCCACTCCTCTTTCCGGGTTTTGATTTTCCGTGGATTCACGTTTCCTCGGTTCGGATTCTCCTTTTTCTCTTTCTAAGAGAGGAGGGATCAAACACAAGCTTTATTTTGCTTTAAATTCACTGGGAATAGAGAGGAACAGGACAGACCTGGAGCAGTTACAACAAGACACATTCTCAAAGAGGATTTTTAGTTTACTTTCCTGATTGCTGCACTCTCCAAAGATCTTCCATATAAAAAAGCTGGAGCACAGACAACATAAAAAATTCCAGACAACATCAGGTTACCCAGGGCAGCCCAGACACGATGCCCTCATCACCCCCTGGCATAAGCAGCTCGAGGGCAGAGTAAAAGCTCAGTTTCCCAAATCAATTTAGGTTTTGGCCTCTGTGTCGAGATGCCCAAATTTCACCTTCACCCCCATGGTGTTCAGTGTTCTGGGATGCAATATGGACACTTGCCCACAGAGCACTGGGCTGTAGATGGGCTCACTCAGAATTCTAACACACCCCACATCTCTCCTTTGTTATTTCTCATTGAAGAATCCCAATCTGTTTTCATGCTTAATACTCCAGTTGCTCAAAAGCTAAATAAAGTATGTTAAGAATACTTCTTTTATGCTATAATATAATTTACCATTAAGGCTCAAAGACAGTGGCATTTGGAAAAAACAATTAGAGGTATCTTTGTTCTCTTTTTTTAATTAACAAGGATGTGGGCAAACCAGATAAAACTTGACTGAATTGATCCCACAGGAGTCCAAAAGTGCAAACCTGAGTTTTGGATAGTAAATTTGGAGTCCAAAACTTATTAACACTTCCCACCTTCCTCCTCCTCCCTTCCTCACCCTATGTTTCCGCTTTTCCTTCATGATATCCTTGGTGTCCTGAAGCATTTTCTCCTTCCAAAGGTCGAAGAAATATGAAGGATCTGTGTAGAATTTAAGCGCCTCTTTTCCATCATCCCTGGAACAGGGGGAGGAGAAAGCCACACAGACAAGGATCAGGTCACACATTTCTTGGAAGGAAACACAAGGCACTATCTCAGACAACAATTCAGAAGCGCAGTGAGATGGTCACAGGTGCTGCTCTTGCCTCTGCCCCCATTTCAGAACAGGAAGAGCCCCCCATGTCAGACCCCAGCTCTCCCACATCCCACTCCTCCTGCCCTCACACAAACCCTCCATTACTCAGCACCTCGAGAGCTCAGCTGCTCTGAGCAATCACCAGGAGAGCAGCAGGTCTCTGGCTTCAACTCCCTTTTGTTTGTGCTGTATTTTGGTGTGAGAAACCTCCTGCTGCAGCTCAGGAACCCTAAATCAGAGCAGCAGCGTCCTTGAAGCTCCTGAGTGAGCGCACACAGACTCCCTCTCCTCCCACTTTGCAGTGCAGCCGCGTCTGGCAGGAGACAGCTGCCTCCAGCTATCTGTAATTACTTTTTACCTGCTCAGAAGATATTTATGGATGTGGGATAAGTCTCTGCATTCTGACCCCCTTTACTTCTACTACCTACAAGATGGAATCAGAGTGGGACTGCTGAGAACTGGTTACACAGCCAGGATGGGCCCCACCAGATGTCTCAGACCAGGCACTGGAGGCCACAGGAAGCATCACCACGCCTGCTGCAGCCACCTGGGCAGCAGCCACCTCCAGGTGAATGCTCTGCATCTCTCACTGCAGCTCTCTGGAAAGGAGCCACTGGGCTATGGAGGAGCACAAGGAAAATGCCTCATCTGCAGCACACCCAGCATGGTTCTGCAGAGCCAGCCACGCCTGGCCCCACGGCACTCACAGAAGTGACAGCAGAAAAACAAAGAGATCACTTTCTAGCTACATGCATTTCCATGACCTCAAAAGCAAAGTTTCACATAATCCAAAGGACAGAGATCTCCTGGTGGATTTGTTTAGCAACTCAATTGCCCAGTGGAAACAGCTACTTCAGCCCAGCACAGCACGGGGAAGGACCTCCCTGGCAGGCTGGGAGGAAGAGGCTCTTCTCTGTAAGGAAACAAGGAGGTATTGCAGCCCTACCTGTAAGGTGAGAGGATGTTGAGAGGTGGAGGGGTGTTGCAGGTCCTGTAGGTTTCGAGGACAGGCACAGGGAGAGAATCTCTGTCAAAGAGCTTCTGGTCCTGAGTGGTGGAGCTTTTGAAGGCCTTCCTGCTGTTAATGCCTTGCAAGGAGACTGTAAGGAAGAGGAGAGAACAACTGAGGAACAGCTTGACCCAGGCCAACGACCCTGAAGCCCAAGCAGTGAACATCTGATTTCAGTTGGAGCTTTTGGCATGCTTTGCAGTTCTTAAGGTCAGGTTCCTTTTCCCACAGATCCCCTGGGAAGCCCATCACATCTCCAGCGTGCTGCCAAGACCTGCTGCTCCATCAACACAGCTCTCCCTCGAGGGGCCCACGGGCTTTGGAGCCCCTGTGGCCAAGCTCAAGCAGCTCATCCCCTGCCACCCAACTGCTGGAGAGCTCCCACGTGCAGAGTCACTGAAGAGCAGAGCCCAGCCAGCTGTCCAAGCGCTCTGCTGGGCGGCAGGGACACAGTCCCTCTCAGCCCCAGAGAACACATTCCAACACCCATGGCAGGGTCATGCTGCGTTTATGGTGCTGAACCAACCATGCTGACTCAACCAGAACCTTCACCACGCTCAGCCTGTGCTCCACTCCATTACCTTCCTCCTCCTTGGGATCCAGCTGAGTGACTTTGACTTGCAAGCGGTCAACTCTCTCGACCAGAATGCTCACCCGAGAGGCAAAGGTGTTGGCTTGAGTAAACAACTCTCCAAATATGTCTTCTGCAGATTTACCTGCAATATTAAAGTGTCTACATTACCCTTATGAACCACATCAGACCATACTCAGTCTCCCAGCTTGCTTTCATGAAGAAAGAAAGAAAGAAAGAAAGAAAGAAAGAAAGAAAGAAAGAAAGAAAGAACCAACCACTCTTCTTTTCAAGTTTGTCAGGGCTGAGTTTAACATCCAGAAAGAAAGCGCTTTGTTCCACCAAAACCTGACATTTCCAAGGGATCTTCAAGCAATAAGGAAACAATTGAGACACACTTTAAAGTCTATTAGAGTAACAAACTAAAGAGGGCTGACAACACTACACTGGTCTGAATGTGGATGCATCTGAAGGTCCTTTAAGATTCTCTGCTGTTCTGCTTATTAGACAAGGAAATACAGTTAGATTTTTATTGCTCTGGAGAATCTCAAAGGCTCCCAGTCTCCAGCAGGCCTGCCTCCAGGGGAGCTGGCACACATTTACAAGCTCAAAGTACTCTGGAAGTAGAGAGCAGACCCAGTCCTGGATCCTGAAGCTGGAGCTGAAACCGCAGCTGACAGCACTGACCCTGCTGTTCCTTCAGGTGGCAGTGTCTGAAAAATTGATGCATTCACATTGATTCTAAATCAAAAGCAAAGGGGAACTTCCCAGTCAGGGACATTCTCTCTGGAACAGCTTGGACTGCCCAGTGGGCTGCTATGACAAGCACCATCCATGGTTTGGGCCATGAGAGCTGAGCCTGGGGCTCAGATCAGGAGCTGCACCACTTACAGGAGTCACAGGAACATGGCCCGTTCTCAGGAGTGCACCAAGAGGTGGCCACAGGTAGACAGAGGTGGCAGCCCTGGAGGAAACCCAAGAGCTTCCACGGATCCTGCTCTTGTGTTCTGCTCCCAGGCCCAGCCCAGGAGCGGAGCCCCAGCAGGAGGACGGGGAGAGCAGAGCAGGCTTGGCACCGAGCGCAGACACAGGCCCTGGTGCTCCACTGATGGGAAACATTTCCAGCCACGGCTGCTGACTACAAGGCTGCTCCCAATAAGCAGTCTGGTTTTGAAGTGCATCATCATATGGTCAACAGTTTGCTCTGGAATCTGTTACTCCTAAAGATCCTCTCCGACATTCAGGAAAGAAAAACCAGTTGGAAGTCTAATTTCAACAGCAATTTTGGAAAACACGGTTGTCTGCAGAGTCAGAGAGACAAAGCACCCTTGCACAAGGCAAGGCGAGGGCATCCCCCAAAGCCCAGCTGCACAAACACTCCCAGCTATCTAAGCTGACATATCAACTCCTTGTTCCTGCTCCCCGGAGATCTCCTTACACTGCCAAGCACGGGGAACAAGCCAGGTTAAAATTCAACCTTCTCCACCCCTTTTGGTGGCAGTGCCAGGTCCAAGTGTTTGTAGAAAGCAAATGCTGAAGGTTAACTTCCACTGACCTCTTCCTTCCACCCTCCTAGACAATGCAGGCTCCACAAATGCTCAATTAACAAACCCAAACTCATGAGAAGGATTTTATGTTTGGAGATCTAAGGGCCAGGTAGCTCTCGCTGCAGCCATGTTTCATGAAGCAATCTCCATTTTCAACATCAGCACAGACCAGCTCTTCTATTTGACCCAAAGAGAGTAAAAATTTATCTATGAGAAAATGCAAAACCTTCCAGCAAAAGTTCAAAAAAAGAAAAGTTGCAATTTCATTTCTACTTTCACAAGAAGTGAAAAACATTTCTGAATTTCACAAGGAACTGCAACAAGCACTAGGGGAAAATTAAGTCTTTGGCTTGCAAAGTACATTTCAAGTATAAAATAATATATATACTGGTTTTGACCCTGAAGAGAGAAGAGATGGTCTGTGTTCACTTGCCTGTGTAAGTGCACCTGGAGTTATCACCCACCATCTCATACGTTGCCTGAGCTTCACAAACACTTTTAGATGGGGTGAGACGGAGATTAATTTTTTAGTTTAGTTACTTTGACTGCAAAAGTGCAGCTTACAATCAGAATTATCTTTGTCATGCACTGGCAGGAAGACAGACGGCATGATTTAATAGGTCCTTCCATCTTTAGCTTGTGGATTCTGTAAAATCACACAAAACCGCGCAGTCGACTTATACAAAGTGCTCCCAGCTGCGATAGTAACGAAGGGTAAACTCACTGGAATATGAAAGTTTGACAAGATTTATGTTTGCATCTTCGTAAAGAGACTGTGGTGCACCAGGCATGGCTGATTATTCACTTGACAGGGTTGTCACAGCCTACTGAACCTGCTCTACGTTCCTGTAATAGTCAAGGTACAAGGAGAGAGAATTTGTTTTTTGGAGAGAGGAAAGGGCGGGGGGCAGGAGTTTGGTCATTTGGGTGCAAGCGTAGTCTAAACCTTGTTTTATTTAAAACACTGCTGACCCTGGGGGAGTGGATGGTGCTCAGCATTTGCCTCCCGCCTGCCCTGCTCCCCTCTCACACCAAGCGTCAGCAGGAGGCTCGGCTCCTCTCCTCTCCTCTCCTCTCCTCTCCTCTCCTCTCCTATTTCCCCCCAGGTACCTGTGACAGGTCCAGCACTCACACCTTCTCCCCACATCCCCCCTTCCCAGCTCCCAGGGTACCCTCCCAGAGAAGAAACCAACCAGGCTGTGATTTGGCTCCCAGCGCCTCAGAAGCAGAGCAGCTTTGAATATCTGTGCAAAGAAGGACTAAACCTGTGGGATCTGGCCAGGGCTGTCACACTAACCCACAGTGTCTCTGCACAGGGATGAGCCTTCCCTGCAGCTGGGCTTTGCACAGCTTCACTGCCTCCTTCCTCACCATTTCACATGCACGAGATGGATTTCACTCGCACTCCACAGCCATCTTGGCTACCAGACCCAACAAATGAGCAACGAGGGCCAGTTGAACGCGAGCAGAGAGCCTGGTCTCGCCTGTGCAGTGACATTTCTCCAACCCAACAGAATGTGACACCGACTGGCAGCAAACACGGGCCCAGATTTCAGTGACAGCCATGGTTTGCACTGCTGGAAAGAGGCTGCACCCAAACTTTGCCTGCCACATGGCGGAAGACAAGGGCTTGCTTTGCAGAGCAAGCAGAAGGGCTTGCTAACACCCCAGAGAAGCTAAACAATAGATTAATTTGATTATCAAAGTCTCACTTCAAGGACAAAGGTGGTTAATCAGAACCCAGAGCATTTCAACAGAGAATGGAGTCATCCCGGAGAGACCACAATTAACTCTTGGTTTCTCCTATGGCATGTAGGCCTGTGCTTTCCCTCCAGCCTTTCCAAGGCCATGGGTCAGCCCACTGGAGAGCTGAGCCAGGCACTGCTCCAGCTCACGCTGCCATTTGAGTGAGCAGCCCCAGACCACCGACGCTCTGCAGGCACCACTTGGCTCACACAGGTCTTTGGGTCTCACAACGCAACAAACAGCAGCAGGGGCATACTGGAGCTTCTGCGTGGGGGCTTTAATTATCTTTCATTAAAAATAAGACTACTGACATGGTGTAGATTCAACAGAGTCAAGCTCCATTTAGTAGCGCATGCAATTACAGACACGTTCTCTGACACAAGAACCTGCCTGCTCCGAGAGCCTCCCATTTTACAAGCCTGAGTTGTGCTCCATCCTTCCATCTGCAGTTTCACTGCAGCCTCTCACATGCACACACACATACACACACCCCCCTCCCCATTTTCTCTTAGATAGGAAGGCAGTGGGACCAGGGATATGAAATTAGCATCAGATTTCTTTAGGAAAACATTTTAGCATTACCCAGGGAAGGCAGATGGGGGAGAAATAGGAACACGAGAGTAGAAAGGGAGCTAAATAAAGAGCAGTAGCGACTCCTGAGGGCAACGCGCAGGCTCGCCATGGTACTCACTCAGGCTGCCCAGCTGTCGAATGACATTTGCCAGGGTGATGTTGGTCACGCATTCCAGCTCGCTCGGAACGCTAGGCAACGTCTGACGGCACAGGTGCCTTGGCTCAATGTTCCTCGTTACTAACGGCATGGTGGACCTGCTTCAGGCACTGTTCTGAAAGATGAAAAACAACCCAAAAAAGAAACAGGAAAGGATTACTCAACCGCAAATTCCAGGCACACCAGAGCCATGGTGTTCGTTTTTCCTGCTCTCAAACGGCTTTACTTATAAGCCTTCTTCCCCCAGCTCCCCACCCTGAGAAAACTGGCTCATCAGACATAAAGATCCTCCTGTTCTCTGACTCGCAGCGGCAGCAGAGCCCCAGCAGCCCAGGTGCAGAGATGGAGCACCGCACACCTTGGCCCACGCGCCAGCGCTGCCGCAGCCGCTGCTCCCTTCGCAGCCGGCCAGGGCTCCAGCCTCCCGCGCTCACGCAGCACCGGCACGCCTCCTCCAGCTCCTCTGCAGAAACATTCCCCACTTGCAATCAATACTTGCTTAAACCGTGGAGATGGAGACAGGAGATGTTATTACACAAAAAAAGGAAGAACAAAACAGGCTTCTCCCAGCACGCCAAAGCACACGTGGTGCCTCCCTCCCGGAGCAGCACACGGGGCTCTCTCCTGGAACAACAGGAAGCGCTTGCAGCTGACCAGGAAACTTTCTGGTGACTGTTCCTTATCCTGCAGGCTGCACCCCTCTTCCCTTGGGAAATCCCCCGGGGATGAGGTTTACACTGGACCATTGTTTTCCTGCTACAGCAGTTTAAGGTTGAGGGAGCTCTAATCAGGATGCAGGGCTGGAGTGTGCTCAGAGGCAAGTCAGGATTGATTGTACAACAGGCAGGACAAACTTCCAGTTCTTAACAAAACTAGTAAAATAAAAAACCTGGAGAAAAAACTAAGTGTCTGGAAGTTATGTTTTGGAAGCTTTCATGCGCAGGTCAGTGTCTTGAACTAACAAAAATCTCCTTTGCTAAGAGGCCCAAACATTTAAGCCTCAAACAGCTCCCTCCCAGATCATCCAGCTGCAGGAGGGAGAAGGAAACCTGTGTGACCAGCTCACTAGAAGGAGCATCATACATGCCTGAAATCTTTAGGACTAAGTGAAAGCAAATACATCCCAAGTTCGTGATTAATTTAGAAGGGGAAAGAATCACTTTTCTAGGTCAGCTGAGGAACAACCCAAGAGAAGCAGGCAGCTCCCATGTGATAGGCATGCGGATCTGCTCGGGCTGGGTGTAAAAATAAAACAGGAAGCTAACAGCTTGGGGAACATGGCTTCCTGTCACCACCAGCAAAAACCCAAGAACCATAAAAAATCAGCTGTTTGCTCTTGACTTTGAGCCACCCTTTGATAGTCTCTGTGGCAGCTGGCAGCTTATCTTTGAGGTCCAGGAGTCCTTCCTGGATGCTTTTCTATCAGGGTGTTAAGAGGAAGAAGTGGGCATTATCCCTCCTAATTACCTCAGAAGCCAGATTTTGAATTGCTAAATTTGACCCATTAAGGCAGAGGAGTTCAAGAGCCGCAGCACCGGGCGCTGGGATATCTCCCAGACAAGCAGATGTAGGTTGCTACCATTTTGCAACGCCTCTACACGAGGGATTTCACAGCATCTCAGAATGCCAGGATGGTTTGAGTTGGAAGGGACCCTAAAGCTCATCCTGTTCCAACCTCCTGCCACGAGACCAGGCTGCAGAGAAAGGGTCCCCAAAACCGAACGCCTTACGGAACAGGGGAGCCAGATCTGCATCCAAATAAACAGAAGCAAGCCCCTCTGAGGATCGAGCCTGTGCTGTTTTTCCCCGTGTCCACTGCAGCCATCAGTAACTGCTGGGATATTTAAAGAACAGGGTGAACTAAGGAAGGGCTCTGACCTTCCCTTCCCAACACCCCGCGTTTTATCGATTCCAGCCCAAGCCCTACAATCTTTTGTCAGCTTTAGTGCTTCATGCCAGACAAACTTTCCCAGCTCCCCCCAGACTGCAGTCTGCACCAACAAGCAGCTCTCATAAACAAGGCAGCATTTGCAGGCTGCCTGCATCCAGCTTCTCCCCTGTGCTTCCCCAGGGCTTGGCCAGGGAGCGCACACGGTGGGATCTGCAGAGCTGGGCTGGACAGCCTGCCTGGAAACCTTCCAAGGTGGAGGACAGACAGAAGGAAAACAGCAACAGGAAAAATAAGCCTGCGAGTGGGGGATGAGATGTGAGCATTCTCTACAAAAGGAGACAAAAAAAGCCCCCAAGATAATGGGTAGCATGGTTGGATAAATGCAGGTAACACTGATCTCTGCAAAGATGGGGAAGACAGGGCAGAAAATGGGAGCAGTGCCTCAAATAACAACAAAAAAAGGCTCTAAATATGCTGCCGGTATACAGACACCCCAAAAGTGTTTGGCTTCAAAGCATGTTTTGAAAGTAAAAGCAAGGAGTAGTGGTGAGAACTGCTTTTCTTAAAAGAAAAACTAAGGTAGAGCACACGAACAGCACAGATTTGCACTGGCACAAGACAGCAGAGATAAAGGCTAAGAAAAAGGCTCCCTTTACAGCCCACCCCACCCTCCCAGCCACACTCCGCTGCAGAAGGAGAGCTTTGCCCTCAGGATCACAGCAGTGCTTCCCAAGGCCATGGGGACAGCTCTGGTGCCCCTAAGCCCAGCCAGGATCCAGCAAAGCCAGGGATTAAATTAACCCTGGGGAGCACTGGGGACAATCAAGGCAGGAAGGGCAGGACAGGCTGTGGACAACCACCCTGCTCTCCCAGCAGCTTTTGGATACGAGGCATTTTAAAGCAAAAATTCCTCTCTTCTGAGCAGAAGGATGAGGAGCTTCAAGATTTTAGGAAGGAAATCTGGGACCTGCAAAAAGAGCAGGTGATGTCCCTACAAGAAGACTGTAAGACCTTGCTTTTTCCTGGAGTGTTTGGAGGGTAGGATAGAGATAACAGCTAATGTGCTCCTGTAAAACCTTCATGCCTGGTGAGTAGGTGGGACAAAGATTAATAGTGTGGATTGGAAAATAAGTGGTGTATTTCAAAAGCAGGAGTCAGGTGGGGCAGAAAACCAGGTGTGGAGAAGGGGCAAGGCGTGAGCGCACAGGGGAAATGGGGAAGAGGAAGCAAAACTGGAGGCAGCACAAGGCATGAGCTGGGGGCAGGAAGGAGACACAGTGAATAAAGGAGGGACAGAGCGAGAGAAGCTTTCTGGGAGGCTCACGCTGTTACTCCTTAAGAGAGTGGTGAAGGAGGCGACTGCCAGCGCAGTGCCAAGCACGGGCCATCCAGAACCGCTTCCCTTTCCGTGCCCAGGCCACCACAGCACAGCACAATTCCACCCCGGCTGGCCAGCCTGCTCATCAGGCATTAGTCACTGTCACACAATGACCACAGACCATATATTATAACTAAATCCTACCATTCAGATGCAACTTAAATGAATTGCAAGGCCGAAAATCCTTATCTTTGGGGCAAAGATAAACGTTTCTATTTGCTTATGAATGCTGGAGATTAGATTTCTTTTGGGAGTGTAGAGTTTTGGGGTGCAGACACCGTTTTTAAAGAAGCTGCAAGAATAACGTGGGCACAGGGGAGCTGCCCTGATCCCAGTGTAACAGGAGAGGAGATCAAGTACGTTAGAAGTAAAAGGAAACTGCCTCTAGAAACAAAAAACTCTGCAACAGATTTCTAATGAATATGGAAAACAAAGAAAGGCATCAAATTGAAACACAGCGAGAGGAAAAGAAGTTCAGTGATCTCTGCTGGCTGGAAGAGCCCTAAGGAAAATCCACAAACCCTGCTGCATCAATCCAAGTTCAGAAGACTCATCCTCCCAACCACCGTGCTTCACACCTTCTTAAAAACAAGGAAACAAATGATTTTCCTCTCCCGCTAGAACCAGACCCTTCCTACCTGCTCCCAAACACTTCCTCTGAAGCCCCCAAGTCATGACTTGAATCACAGAGGGCTCCAGGAGCCTTGATGATGTTGTGAGGGCAGTGACTAAAGGCCAAACCATCTGAAAGGCCCAGCTTTGCCCCGCAGCTCCTTTCCCCTTGTGCCCCACCTACAGCTGGGCACTGCCAGGCTGCCTCATCACTCCCTATCCCAAAGTGCTTACACCGGCTCTGCCGAGCCCTGGCCTGCTCCAGCCCAGAGAAAGGTCTGCTGAGCACAAAAAAGCTGAATTCACTGCTCCCATTCCTACTGATCCTCCAGCCTCAACAGGCACCTTGTTTCCAGGATTCATGGGGGTTTTGCTCCCCATCATCCTTCCCAACAACTCCTGTCCTTTCTCACTGCACACATCGTGGTCTTGGATGCCTTGTTCTTTTCCAGGAAAGCAGGATCCATGAGTGCAGCTTCTTCCCGTGCTGCTGATCTGACACCCTGCTCCTGCCACAATAAGCTCTCACCTTGAACGTCCTGCTCACCAGCTTTTAAGAGGATTCTGACTTTGGCAATTAGTTCTGTAAATACTCTTGGGCACTGGGGAACAAGCGTGGCCCAACACAGGCTCGAAAAGGGGGGAAAATGTGTGACTTGCAATTCTTGCCTTTCAGAATCCAGCACTTTAAGCAAAGCTGAGGTAAATCCAAGATAAGCGTGCTGCTCCAAGATTTCTTATCAGCGAGGCATCGACCGCTCTCCCCGTGAGCTCTGCTGCAGCAGATCACTCAGGAATCCCAGCTCTGGATTAGAATCAAGTACAATTGGTTTGTTTCAAACAAGAACTGCCAGTCCATAAACCCCTCGCACAAAGCTGTGTCTTATTGACTATTTTTAATAAATAGGGCTGGCACAGTAAAATTGAACAATTGCTAGGAACAATAAAGGAAACAGACTTTGATTACAACTATTGAGAAGCAATACAGGGATGTTTTAGCATTGAGTATTTGCTTTCCAAGGCGAGTTCTGTCAACTGAAAACAGCAACTCGGAGCAAACGCTCCTTAAAGAGTGTTTCAGAGCAGAGCAGAAAACAGCACTGCACGGCAAGAGGAGAACCAGAGCTGTTTTTTGGGGTTTTTTGTAGAGCAGGCAGATAGCACAGTCACTGTGGTGGTGCAGAGGAGAAGGCAGGCAGGACTCCAAGGCGAGCCCTGCGGATGCATCGCACACAAAGAGCTGTAAATAACAGGTGAGGTGGAGGGAGAGATCTGGCAAGGCTCTCCTCACTGGTATTTGACCAGTTAGCATAGCGTTACTGGGAGTCACCTGGGTAATTCCCCGCTCAATGTGACACACAACCTCTTAGATCAGGGACCATCTGCAAATAAATCTGGACCCCAGCAGTGAGATCATCTGTCATAGTGTCTGGTGTAGCACAAAGCACCTAAGGAGGGCAGAGCGCTTTTTTTGGGGAAGGGAAGGGAATTTAGGCTTGATTTCCGAGTACGTCAGGGTGACCAAGCACCCTGCCCTCGGCAGGGCTTGCAGAATCCTCAGCCCTGAGCTGAGCGCTTTGGAGAGCTGCCTCCAGGAGCGCCCATCGGGGGACTGGGCACACCAGCAGGTCTGGGAATGAGGAGGAAAGGAGATAATCAGATCTGAAATTCCCATCAGTATGAAATAAGACTTAACTCAGTAGCTTGCCAACGCAGACCGACTGTTCTTTCTAATGTCTGTGACAACTCTGCTTCAAATTTCAAGCTTCTCTCAGCAGTAACTACTCCCCCATGTAGCTGTAATGGCCAGAAAGAGACTGGCTTTTATGTAACCCCAAAAGACTTGCAGAAAGGGAAGCAGCAGCCACACACACACACACACAGGGAGAACTGAGGGGGAAAAAAATCAGCAGAAGGCTCTGCTGAGTGCTCAGGGCTATATCCAAGCTCACAATGCAGCCACAGAGAAGTGGGATGCGGCAATCAGAAATGCTCCAGTTCCACGCTCCGAGAGAGACCCAGCAATCAGTGCTGCATCCGAGCAATAGGGAGCGAAATTATAGAGCAAACTGCCATGTGATGCCACAAACTACTCCATCCCGCCAGCTGTAACAAGTATTCATTCCCAAAAATGCATCACAGGCTCATCTGTCATTACCAGCCCAGCCTGCCAGCAGCTGAGCAGGAGTCAGCAGTGAAGGGCAGCTGCAGGGCTGCTTCCTTTCACAGTGCTCTATTCTCCCAAAAAACCACGGGGGAGAAGGGCGGCTAAAACCCCCCGGGCGCAGCAGAAAACATTGCCCACCATCTCTCAGCAGCCGGTGGGATGGGAGGCACACGCTGTGTTTTCACCCGCCATCACACAAAAGCTCTCCTGAAGCAGGATCTACTGAAAACGCAGGACCTTTGGGAGAACACATTTAGCTGATCACAAAACCCCACATCCACGAGCCCTCTGTGGACTAATAACGCACTTCAGTCACCAAGTGAGGAACTCTGCGGGCCCGCCCCG